TGCTGTTCTGTACATGGAATTGCCCATATTTATCCTTTGGCCTAATTACTGGATGTCCTGCCTACATCCTGACCCAATTCATGTCAAATAACTTACCATCTTGAGCCAAAAGCAAAATTCCATTAAGAGATAACAGCAGATAGAGAGAAAAATGGCAAAAAGCTTCATGCTGTCTACTGGAGCTGTAACTCAATAAAATTTTCATTGGCAGTACTGATGATGATAATAGTAGTAGTAGTAGCAGTGGTGGTAGTAGTTTCAACAGTAGCAATAGCAGTAGAAGCAGTATATAACCCACCTGGATCATTATTGTATTAAAATGAATGTAAATACAGAATTACACTGATTAGAAACTGATTATAAAACAAGCGTAAACAAACAAATTCATATTAAAATATGAAGACTTCTTTTCTTTTCATCTCACTTCATGACAAACAGTGTCTTCACTTCTTGTGAAAGAGGATTCTTTTCTTTTTCTTAAGACAGGGAGCTTTAAGCACCACTTGTAGCTAGAGCTGAAATGAACTCTACAAGGGTGCGTGTTGGACGCCCCGTCATTCCTTTTGCTAGGTAAGGCAATTTTTCGGATGTTTCCATCACACCAGCTATGTCCATGTGCATCCAATTTCCTTTTGGGACAAATTCCTGCACAGAAATATTATAACTGGTATACAAAAATCAAACCACAAATCCCTCCAGTTGCACCTAGTGCTAAACTTTACATAATACTTTCTCTTTGCATAACTGGAGAACCACTTGTGTTGTACTCTGACTCAGATTCCTCCTTATCTAGACCACACACACCAGCTTTACCTCACCTTGCCTTAATTCTACATTAGGTTCCTCATCCACCTTTGTTGTTTGTGGCTTTAGAGGTACACCAGCTTCTAAAGCTATTCACATCTGTCTACTATGTCAATTAAAAATACCCACATTGCAAAATAATGCAAGATTTACCTGCATGCCAAGATACACATAGCAGGACAGTATACTAAAAAACAGCATCTATAACAACACACAGGGAAGGCTGTTTAGAAGCATGATCACTGGAATGGGGTTAAAACTGCAAAGTTACAAAAACATAAACCAGCCACTGTCCTGTCTTACAATCTTTCTTTCTCTATCCTATCAACTCATTTCCTACTAATAAAATAACATATTTTCATGGACATTGTAATGAAGACAGACATTGCAAGACTAATACTTACGCTTCTTCTAATTGTTAGAAATTCCCTCAACAATTAAAAGAGGACTTTTTTAATGGCTTCTATTCCTATGTCCAAAATAAACCCTGAACAGGTTTCATTGAATCATCAAAAAAACCTGATGCAAAAGAGACATACCTTGAGAAATGCAGCTGCAATACACGATCCTCCTCTTCCTGGGGGCCCCTTTGTTATGTTAAGCAGATCTGATGAAGCAGAGCCTGGAATAATTTAACAACCCTCTCTAATGCTCTAGTTTATATGTTTTTCTTTTCATATTTCCCCAACTGTGCTACCTAATCTAAAATTTGAGCAGAGTTTTGCTTTTATGACCAAGTTTCTGTACCCAATCTGCAACATTTGGACAATCCTTCAATGAGTAAGGACTGCAACTGTACAATGAAATTATACCGATATTGAATTTTGGAAATCTTAAATGTTAATGGTTAAGTCTGTATTCCTTTTTTGCAGTGCCTACAGATTTTTAAAGAACATATTTTTTAGTTCTATTAAAAGCAGGAGCATTTCTATTATGTGAACTTTTTAGTTATGTCTGCCACATTTCACAATTTGTAAGTCTGTCGCAGCACCTACTTCAAATGAAGCAATCACTAAAAACTGGGTGGGCATCAACATTGAAATAACAGATTTTAAGGAATGCAGACATATAGAGCTGCTAGTCCTATTCATATTTTCTCTGAGAACACAAAATTGGAGACCTGATCGCTATCAGTGCAGAATTATGTTTACTTAAAGCACTTTTGGGGTTACCTTCACACTTGTTAGAAGAGAATCATAAAAGAAGCTCATGATTTTCCATCATCATGAACAGCTGGCAAAGAAAACAAGCAAGAAACTCGCATGTTGCAAACACATCAAGAACTGTGGTTGTTCACTCACAAATAATATTTGTCAAATTTTTAGTCAAATCTGAAGACAACTTCTCAAAATTGGAAATGTTGATACATACCAGTCAACCCCTTGCTATAACATTTCCATAATGGCATTCTCCATACTCGGTCACCTGAAATTGCACTAGCTCGCTGCAGTTTTTGAAAGAAAGGTGTTGAGTTGCTGAACACTCCACAAGCGGGACTGCCAAGTGCAACTCTAATAGCCCCTACACAACAAATCAAAATAAATGTTGCAAGGCATTCTTTTAATAGTTGATAGTTACTTAGCTCATCAAGAAAGGGCTCTAAAAATAAAAATATAAGATTCAAAATGAACTAAATTAATACAAAATAATAATTAGTCTACAGCAAAATGCCAAAGAGCATAACAGGTACATGTAATACAGACCTTAAAATAAACCAAACACCCCTCCATCCCCAAACAAACAAAAACCAAATTTACTATAGGTACACCACACAGTTTTGAACAAAGTGGAAAGAGAATTGGGTGCTGTCAATAGTGGGTACACCACAAAACTAAACTAAACAGTTTTCAAATTTTATGAAAAAAACACATTAATTATAATAGCACTATCAGTCATACCTGTGAGAGTAGCTATGTCCACAATCAACTGCGGGTTAAACTCCTGAGCATAGTAAAGAGCATCAGCAAGGATCAACCTGCCCTCTGCATCAGTGTCATCAACAATGATGGACTTGCCATTCATAGCATAAACCACATCCCCAGGCTTAGTGGCTGATCCACTTGGCATGTTCTCTGTTAGAGGTATGAGACCTAATAAGACAAATAAAACAAAAGCAATTAATATAACAGTATATTTAAATACAAACAAATTATCCCCTGGCTTACATGCACCTTAGGTTATAGCACAAAGTAGTCTGGTAGAAGTTTACCTGCCTTCAAGGTGCTACAGCCCAGAAGACAGTCATCTTCATACTCAACGCCAAGAAAACCTCAAATCCTTTTAGTGCTTGTTTTTGTTGTGCATACTATATACCATAAATCTCTTAGATATTTAATTTTTGTATTTTACAACAGGTACTATATTCTTATGTCTATGCAGGGCCTTCCCTCATCCATAACCTTGTCCACAAAATTTTAAATTTGAATATTCTTATTTAAATTCTAAAAACTGAAATGTAACATCAGTATTTTTAAATTCAAGATAACATATACTTTTACTTGATACATGTGAAAGAAATTGCTATTTAGTCATATTCCAGTTGTTGCATATCTGTCAATGAAGATAACTTACCTATAAGGTTCACGTTCAGCTTCAGAAGAGACACAGCATAAATTGTTGCAACGACACAGGCGGCCCCTCCCATATCACCCCTCATTTCATCCATCTTGTTACTTGGCTTTAGGCTGATGCCTCCACTATCAAAAGTCACGCCCTTACCTATACACAGCAATCACCAAACATCACTGAAATTAAACAAATTCATCCTCCTGCCGTGCAAATCAAGAAGTCACTGTGATTTCTCTTATTTAAACTGACCATCAGAAAAACAATGCCACTGTAGGACAAAGGGGCTTCTGGATCTCCACAGCAGTTATTCCATATTAAAAAAAATGATACTGCCTCCTCTTACCAACCACTGCTTTGATGTCAGTCACAGACTGACATGCTTTCCTTTTTAACAAATTGGCAAATGACATTTTTTATGATTATAGATGTTCAAAAATGTAGAATGTAAAACAACAAGGCAGCCATATACATTATATTTAGCTGTCCACTTGATGATGAGTAATGAACCAATGGAGGGAGATAAGAGAAATTTTGCAAGGAAATAGATCACAAATTCTGCAAATAACATTTGTTATAAGAATTAAAAACAGGGCAACTTTCAGAAACGTAGCATCTGTGTCTGAAACTACAAATTCTGAACACAAACGTCTATTCATTTTTAACTTATTGATTTGAAGTTCCTGATAGACCCATAATGCAGTCTGATCTATATAAATTAAAGCAGACATAATACATTCTTCCCAAATTTCTATAAAAAAATTAAGCACTTTCAGGTGACTTGATGTAATGTACAAGACGTCATTTTGCAGCATGCTACAACAGACATGGCTGAAAACTATAAATCCTGAACCACACACAGAGCCAAAACTTACCAACAAGAGTAATTGGTTTATTAGCGGCTGCTGAATAGTGTAGTTCAAGAAACACTGGTGGCTCAGCAGAACCACGAGCTACACTGAGAAATGAGCCCATCTTCTTACTCTCAGCCCAAGTCTTGTCCCTGACAATCACCTTCACACCAAGTGCAGTCAACAGCTCTGAAGTATTCTGGGCAAAATAAACCATTCATATATAAGTTCTGTGTATTACTAAACCAGGATTACTGCACACACTCACTCAGTTACACATATGCAATAAATGGAAAGATCATTTACTATATCTTGGAAAGACAATGAACTCATAATCTCTCTTAAATATATTCATTTATTGAAGTAGAATATATAGTACAGTCTTCTTGGGTAAACCAATATAAGAGCAAGTCAAAACAAACTGACCTGAGCAAATATTGTAGGAGTCATATGATTGGCAGGAGTGTCTGCTAGCTTCCTAGCAACATTCTGAGCTTGAGCTTTTATCACACCTTTGTCCCATGCAGCCCTGGATAGAAAATTAAGAAAACTAGTTAAAAAATCTCTACCTATAAAGCACCTAACATATTTCAAACAACTTTATAAGCATTTTCTCACTGAAAATGGAACAATGATGAAATATGTAATTTTAAGCTTGTACATGTCACAATCCTTTCAATGCAGGCTACATGCACATTGTGCAACAGAACTTCACTGTGAGAACACTCTCAAGAGTATTATGTGAAGAGCCCAAATTTTGGAGTATGAGATTTTCTGCCTAAAACTCAGTTTTGCTGTGAAGTAAACTATGGTACAGTGTAATCACTGTGTCTTCAATTCAGAGTCTACTTTAAATGTTCTACAGGGTTGTGATTCCATAAAGTGCTGTATGTGGTTACCAATTTTGGATGAATCAGCATTACATAGCATCATAGCTCAAAGTTCACAACAATAATTTTCACTACCATTAAACCTAAATTCTCATATCTCAGTTAATCTACTTCCCATTTTTCATATCAACATGTTTCTAGCTGTAAGTCTTTCACTAGAAACTTCTGAATGATTCAGCTAATTTTATGACATTCAGAATACCTCTTAATTCTATACCATCAACAAAGTGAAGAACATGGAAACTTCTGAAGTTCAAACCAAATTCAGTGTAGGGCCCCAAAATGTTGTATGGTAATACTGACAGAACACCATTACTTAAAAGTATTTGAAAACAAAATGCTAATATATATGGACATGGAAAATTGTTCCTGTGATCATCTGCTCACATGCTAACCCATCAACTAAATTGTTTTATTGCTAGATTATAAACTTTAATTAACTAAGCACAGGACCACCAATACCAGATTAGTATGGCCCAAACTCTGTACAGTAGGAAAGAAGGCCCAGAACTTCTTGGTATTTTTTTGTTCATCCTTTGCACAGACAGACATTTGGGAGATGGACACACTCCAACTTACAGTGAACACTTAATGAGTTTTATTACAAGCAGAAAACCTACCTATACAAACATAAAAAGATATGAATATTAACAAACAAAAAACAGTACTTACACCACATGCTCATATTTTGCAAGAAAAATTTAAAATTTTCTACTAACCACACAGAAGCAGACAAGCATACTCTCTACTGCCAGGACATTCATTTCTAAAACAGAATTATCTGTAAGTTGATTGCACTTTGATAGAAAGTTTATATCACCCAAAAGGATATTATAAAAGAACAAAACCAAATGTACCTTTCTCCAGCATTTTCCTCTCCATACAACTCCAGCTGTGGAATCTTTTTCTGTTTGTCCTTGTTCTTGAACTCCTGAAACAGCCAAAGCCCCAGGGTAGCCCCTTCAGCTGCTGCTTCAGGCTTACCCATTCCCTCCAGCAGAATCTTTGATACACCCACTTCCTGCAACATCCTGCATCCCTCTGTGGGGAGGAAAAATCACTCAACTATCATTTCAATCAGATACTAAATGTATATTAAATCTGATCTTGCTACTTTTTCTATCATATAAACCAGTTTTTAAAATCATGAATAATTAACAATCCTTCACAGAGGGATGAACACTGTAAGTTATATATTAGAGCCTATACAATTTTGGCCTGTTTAAAGTATTTGCTTGGAGGCTCTGAAAAAAAAGAACAGTAAAATCCTATTCAGGATAGGCCAAATCAAGTGTCTGCCAAAAGTGAATTATAACGTACTTGAAGCTGCAATTCTGACATTTTCCTGTCCCTCATCAATATCCTCTTGTTCATCGTAGTCAGCACCATCTAGACCCAAGCCCACAACTGCAATTACAGGAAACTGTGATCCCAGATTGTAGAAGACTTGTCCTTTACCCTTATCCACAGCTGGTCCTGCTCTAGAAAAAAACAAGAGAGTCCCTATGGATTGGGATCTTCTGAGTTATGATACTATGTTTTGTAGGTGGTTACCAATATTCTGGAGAAATATGTCACCTGTTTATAGTTGAAATCCTTTATATAATCATGAAAATCTGACGTTACTATGGGTTGTAAATGTATCCTCAGGTTTTAAAAGAACTTTTCTGTGAGTAAAAATTCACCTTTCAATTGGTGAATATGAGGAAACAAGTCTACAAGTCTACAAGTCTGTCAATGGACTGACTGCATGTTAAAAAGTTTCTTTAATGGAAATAAAAAAACTACTACTCAAGGTAATGCTAAATGTAGATTGTATATTCCCAGAATTCATGTTTTATTTGGTAGCAAAGAAGACATTTAACATACATTACATATATACAAGTAGTGACTAGGAAACCAGTCTGGGAAGTTCAACTAAATTTTAAGATACGTTCATCAATATTAGAGAAAAATTATTGCTAAGAGTTCCATCTCTACATGCCATGAAACTATTACAAAAATGTATGTGAAGCACAACATCTGTATGTTAAATTTTTGATAACTGAACACAGTACATATTCATTTATCACTGACAGCTTTGTTAACCACAGAAAAGATTTTAATTAACAAATATTTCACAAAATACATTTAAGAAAAACTAGTAAAAATATATACAGAACTGAAAGAGTTGTGTAACTGTTTTTATGCAAAGTGCTGGGTAAACTATGGATAATATCAGTAAGAGAATTAATGAGCATTTCACCAGTCAATTAAAACAGTAATCTGAAAGAGAAACATATTACAAATCTAAAAACATTTTCACGTACACAGCATAAATTATACATTTAATGACATATAAAATAAAGAATGAAGAGAGATGGGATGAGATTAATTCAAATTCATACAACAGGAAGTTTGAACAACAGAAGTAGAATGGAAGTGTTTTGAACAGGAAAAAATATAAAAAACTGGAGGAAGTGGAAGCATTAAAATTTTGGGCAAAGGCCACACAGAAGTCTAAACTATCTTAATATCAACACAACTATTTGATCTTCATTTTCTGTCTCATTTGTCCCTCACTTATATAACTGCTGGTAAATGTTTAATTTTAGCAACCAGCAATACACTTCAACCTGATGTCAGCTAGCTAATTGTAACTATATAATTTTCCTTAATCCCAACATCAGTCTTATATTATCTAGAGTAAGTCACATCTTCCATACCCGATTCAAATAAACACTTCACAGAAACAGTAACTGTCCACCTAAGCATGCTGACAGTGTAAAAGCAGAAAGGATCAACTGCGTATGTGTAACTGTATTATATAGATTTTCTGCTGCTCCAGTCTGAAAAATAGTGAATAATATATTGATACAAACAATAATACAACCTGCACATATCTAACCAAATGATCTCTATCCTTTGCACTACAAACCATACGCTGGCTACAATATACAGTACTGTTATGCCGTCTTTGGAATTTGCATTTTAAACGAAACCTGGTGTACTATATGCATTTTTCAAACTTTTTTACTTTTATGTGCACATATATGAGCTTAAATAAAAAACTATGCAAATGTTTTTATACGGTATGTTGCAGCATCCAGAGGAATATAGGAAATATTGCTCCTAAAACTTTACATTAATGAAGCATGAGGTTAACTGAGATACCAACAGTATCTGGTACCACATATAATTCAAAATTATACAGCATCTCAAAATTTGTTTATACAAATTGCAGATTAGAAACGAATTACCTAAGTCATAAGCACACACTTACATATTACTTGAGCTCCCTTCTTATATGAACACTGGGAATATTTAAATATTTGGCACAATAAATGTAGTTTGACCAACAGCACTTGGCAGTAAACTCTACAACTATATTTTAACTTTCACATGACAATAAAACATATATTCACAAACATCACACTGGACATATACCACGCCACATTTTGCAAATACAACAGTTATTAACACTGCAATTATAAAGTTACTAATTTAATCACAATGTTTAAGGTTGTCAGGTTCTGCATATTAAGAATTTAATACTGTCTTGGTGAATTCCTAATACCGATTAGGGGTAAAGAAACAGATTTTTTTATAGTTACATACTGCAATCTGAGAACTGCACAATGACTAATCCTCTTTGACCAAATGATAAACTGACTGAAAGATGGAGGAAACAAGACAGCGCCAAGTACAATCTTGTCCTCCTCAAAACCCCAGAAACAACTTGATTTATTTGAAAAGTCCCTTTGTTCAATTACTAGCTGTTACACTTTCAATCCCATTTTGACATTCACATAATCATAACACATGCATTCCTTCTTGTTGACAGTATTGCAATAATTACCAAACATTCTGAAATCATGACCCATTTAAATGATCAATATCTTTCCTTCAGGTTAATAATTTAAAAGCATTATTGGGTACAGGAATCTTATATATACATGTGAATGTATATGGTTCACAATGACTGACACTGTCTTCCAGTGCCCAAACAGCACTCATTCTTATTTATCCAGTCAAATCTGCAGATAACTAGTCCTCATTACTGACCCTAAACCAGCATGCCATCCTCTTCTTGGTCTTCTCTTTCTTATTTTACCATAGGTACCCAACTGATTATTACTTACAGTAACCTTCAATCTATCATTCATTGGACATACCACACAAACAAAATAAACCCTCTTCTACAGTATGTATATCAAGCTTTCTATTCCAATATGTAAGATTTGAGGTTTTCACAGCAGTGAGTCTGAAGATTGCCGTCTTCTGGGTTATTGCGCTGTGTAGTCTGGTAGAATTCCACCGTTTCATACTGCCTCCATCATCAGGGCACTGAATTCATCGCCCTGATAACCTCTGAAACGTTGGTGGAAATCTACCAGATTACATGGTACAATAACCCAGAAGATAGCAATCTTCTATTCCAATAACTTAACAACTTTTTACAACTAATCTCCCAAATATTTTGATTAAAATGACACATTTTGACTCAAAAATCATGTTTCTTCCCCAAAAGCTATGCTCCTCATGGACAAATATACTATAAAATGCCTAACAACCTTGTTCTATGTGAATGGTTCGTCATAAAGTATAATGCTGAGCTGTTATGAATAATTGGACAGAAATATATACTACCACTGAAGTAGTAGCAACAATAATATATACATATAACTTCTCTTGTCTGTATTACAGGGCTGACACAATAAAAAAATCATGCAATTAAAACTGCTTGGCATTCAACTTCCAATTTTTCTTACTTTTTGCTATTGTGTGAATAATATATTATAATGGCCAAGGCTTGAAAAATATGATTGGTCACTGGTGACTGAGGTGAACTGATTTTGTAAGGCGGCAAACAAGTTCATAATAATCATTCACATCAACATGCTGTAAATGCCACTTTTCTGTCAAATGTGAAGCTGAGACAAACTTCATATAATGAAAACATTTTTCTTTAGTCCATATATATATATATATATTTCAGTTCAGGGGTTCTCAACCTTTTCTGGATACACGTACCTTTCCCTATCAACTCACAGGCTGTAAGGTTATAAATAAGAGCAACTTACTAAAATGCCATGTTAATTTATTTTAAAAAAACTATTAAAGTGGGTAATTTATTGCAAACAAGTCCACACATTTCTGAATAATTTTCTTTACCAAACTGTAATCTGCATGCATCCCTCCAAATGTTCAATAGTGAGACCTATACTACTTCTTGATTTGACATTCTTCATTGAGCCAAAAGTCACCAAATACTGATGACATTAACAAACCATGTTTTCTGATATCAGGTAAATACCAGAATATTATGAAAATGCAAGTGGGTCACACAAAACACACTGACAGACAGAATGCAGCCTGGGGGGCATGGGTTGAGGACCCCTGTTTCAAATGTTTGTTCACAAGATTCAATGTGCACAAATCATTCAACTAATGGTTTAAAATAATATGACAATCAAAGTGTTACACTTACGATGATTAATAAGTCAATACACACTTGCCTTGTAACAACCCTGATACTGGAGGTTCTTCTCTGAAATGTTGGTACTACTTTATTGAAATCAATGCTACACATAGAAGGCATAAATGAGAAGCACAAGTGCTAACCATTTGGCTGCAATGTTCAGTGCATAATATTAAAATTATTAAAAAATAAGTTATGGGCACATGGTTAGAGGTAGATGACAACAATGGCAGGCTTTGTTACAACAATGAACTTTTGCTCCAAAATACCAGTGACATAATCTAAGTAGCCTATTGATTGAGGATGTAAAAGTGTTATCCTAGATATAGGAACATTACTAATTTTACTTCAAAAATAACTCAGAACATATCTACCCAAAGTGAGTTATGAATGCTCTCTCTCTCTCTCCTCTCAGACCATCAGCACCATCAAGTGGACAAAAAAAAAGTTTTGGGAATAATCTCTTTCCCCACCATCAGGAATATAATTTTACTACATACCTCAAAATTCCCTTATTTATACCTTCACAGAATTAGTTCTCTTGGACAAGCAAAATAATCCCACAAGCTTCTACTGGATAGTATCCACCCATGACAGGTTCTGTACTACTACTATAGCCTCCCCCCCTTTCCATCCTTTCAAAGTGGTTTTTCTGCTTGGTTTTCACGCAAGATTCACAATAAAAGAAACTATAATAGTGACCACATGCAAGTAAGGAGGAAGCAATACTGGTCTTATGTTTCTAACATTCTTGTTAAGGATTGTGAAAAACCATATGAAAACCTGTGACAGGTCTTTTTAAGACATTTTCAATACACAAACTATGCACTGTACAACAAATGTAAATATACTCAGTATTACTTTAAACAAAACACAGAATACACAATACTGAAACAAAAAACTGAGAAATCTAACAGAAGAATGGAGACAATTACATAACTAGGAGCTTCATAATTTGTGATCTATATCCATACTGTTATAGATCTTACATCACAGAAAATGGAAATTCATACAAAATGC